AGTGTGAGCCACTGCTCATGCACCTTTGCTGTGTTTTCGGGACCTGCTCAAGGCCAGTCCATATATACAACTTCTAATTCAAGATCCCACTGTACTGTATTCTGCACTAGTCAAACAGGTCCATCAAAAGGGGATGTGATAGGGATCACTTCCCCTTAATTTTTAAAGTCTTGCTGGTGACCCTATTTTCTGAGTCCCCTGTGCATGTAGTATTGATTTTGGTTGACAATTTTGACAGTACAGCACAACAGTTAAGAGCATGGACTTTGAAGCCAGTCTCTGGTTTAAAGTCCAGGTCTACCAACTACTAACTAGTGACCTTAGGCAAGTTACTTAAGCTTTCAATACTTTAATTTCCTATTCTGTAAGATGTGTACATTAATAGCACCTACCTTGTAGTGTGCTATTTTGAGGAATAATGTGTTAAAATATGTAAACTGCTTGGAAAAGTGTTTGGCACATAATAAGTGCTATGCATGTGTTTGCTATTACTGCTATAATTAGAAGGGAAAGTACGTTTCAGGCTTTCACCTGGCCCTTCCTATCATAAAAATTCTCACTCCACAGGTCAGAGAGCCAATTGGGGTGTTTTGCCAGTTGCTGGTTATATTTATTACAACTGTAAATCCAGCAACTGGGGAAATTACCAGAGTGGATTTATAGACCTACTGGGCCCACTGTGAGTTGGATTTAGACCAAGACGTCATTTATCATTTGACCTTCATAAGCCCTTGCTTTGACTGTGGGCAACAGTGTTGCTCTGAGTTCCCAGGATTACTGCTAGCTCAGAACCATTGTCTAATAATCCCAGAAGAGTGTGTGGATTTTTATTTCCCCTCTGAACAGTTATCTTTGTAAATTGCTGCAGGTCCTTTTGGTGATATGTAGGAAGATTTACAGTAAATAATTATATTGTTTCCATAGCATCCTTCCTCAAGGTACTTAGTCTTCCTTTTATTTAAGGGACTCGGGTATACGGACTGAGAAGCTATGACACTCTATATGGAGACCCAGCTTTCTGTTGGCTAAAATCCTTCAGGTTAAGTGGATCAAATTTCTATTTCAGTCACAGGGTTCCTGTGATCAATTAATTGCCACCATAGATCACTGTGGGTCAAACCATTTTGATTTCCCTTCTACTCAGTAGCTCTGTTCTGGGTATGGTTACCAGGTAGCTTTTGCAGTGAAACAAACCACTTAAAGCTTAGAAGCTTAAAACAACAACCATTCATTTTGTTAATGATTGTTTGGAGAGGGCAATTTAGGCTGCGGTCAGCTGAGCTAGTCTTCTACTTGTGTCAGCTGAACTCACACATATGTCTGTAGTCAGTTGCTTCTGTTGGTCTCAGTAACACTACTTCTAGAGGTTGGCTGGCCATGAGTTGGGCCAACAGAAATGATTGGAGCATGTGCCTCTAATCATCTGGTTTGCTCACATGGTGGCAGCTGGTATTCAAGACTAACAAGCCCCAATGCATAAGCACATTTCCAGCTTTTTCTTGCACCATTTTCACCAATGTCCCACTGCTTAAAGCAAGTAGCACAGCAGATTCAAGAAAAAAAGAAATAGACCACCTCTTGATGAGAGGATCTGCAATGCCAATGTAGTTATGGATTCAGAGAGGGAAACGTTTGCATTATTTTTACACTCCACCCCAGGCATCAATACCACGTCCCCCTTTTGGGGGCCCAAGCCCTTTTCATACACATCACTCAATTTCTTTAGAGAAACACTGTCCATTTTCTTCCAGGAGACACATCTCCACTGGGAGTGGGTGAAAGGTGGTAGAAGTGGAGCCTAACTTATTCAGCCAGTTTAAAAAAGCAGATTTTCAAATAGTCATCTAATTTTATGTCATGTCTTGTTTCCGTTTTCTATACCTGGAGAGTGAGGGGGTGCTTCTTCCATGACAATGGCTTCCACCTCTGCTGTAGCTTTTTCCTGAAATTTGTTGGGCTGTGGTGCTCTCCATTCTGATTTATCCTACAGCTTGATCCCATTGGCATTCATTCCAAGAACTTATCAAACTTTTTGGTCCACTAGTCTGACCCCCTCTACTGCTTTTATGAATGAATTACTTTATACTTTTTTATAATTGTTTCTATTTGCTTTGGGGAGGGAAATACTTGTGTTTAATTCAGGGTCTTATACCACAAAAGCCTCAGATTATATTTTAATCTATTATCGCTAGACTAATGTAGCAGTGCAAAAAAGTACTATACTATGGTCTTCTCATATATATTAAGAGTGGATGGTTCAGAGAGAAGAGTCAAGATATATGCACTCTACTGTGGGAAAAGAGAGTCAGAAGACAATTTGTATATTTCCCAAATAAATAACTTTGGTCTCTTATTACAGTTTCATATTTAGTGTATAGTGTGAGGAAGAAGAATGTATTTCTTTTGTTCAATGCATTACTTTAGGTCATTTTGACCACTCTATATTTCTCCTAGGGCCCTGGCCACAATAGTAATCAAATATATGTAAATTAAAATAATTAGAATAATTTTCTTTTAGATTAGTGATAAAAATAATACATAATAATATGGGTGAAAAAGTGAATGGCCTTTAACATTGCTTGAGGGAATGGAAATTGGTACAACCTTTTTACACAGGAATTGGAAATAGCTATTAAAGTTAAGACTATGAAAACCTTTTTTTTTTTTTTTTTTTTGAGTTGGAGTCTCACTCTGTTGCCCAGGCTGGAGTGCCCTGGTACACTCACAGTTACTCCAGCTGCCTGGCTGGTTTCGAACCCTCAGGCTCAAGCAATCCACTCACCTAGCCCTCCCAAAATGCTGGGATTACAGGCTGAGCCACCGAGTCTGGCCTAGACTGTGAAACTTTTGACAGAGAGTTCCTTTCATACAAATGTTCAAAGACATATACACATATAAATGATACTTAACTTTGCTAGTAGTCAAAATATACAAACTAAAACAATAGTGACATACTTTTTTTCACCTACCAGAATGTCAAAGATTTAAAAGAACGCTAATGCCCATTGTTAGGAACTGCTGAATGTGTGTTTATAGATACAAGTGTGACAATATGTATCAAATTCCTTAGATACAATATGTATCAAAATCCTTAGAACATTAACACAAAGGAGGGATCCATCCTGCTGGGCACTGCCAGGTGAAGGGGAGGGGGCACATGACAACACAAAGGGTACTCGGTCCTATAACAGGGGGGCCAGCTGGAGGTCCAAACTTGACCAGCATGCAGTCTACTTGTATAATTCATCCTTACTTGTACTCCACATCTCTACAACAAAATAAAATTTCATTGAAAAAAACCTTTGACCTAAGAATTTCACCTCTAGGAATACATCCCTGGGAAATATTAGAAAGGTGAACAAAGATGTGCCTGTAAAAATATTAATCTCAGCATTATTTATAATTGTGAAAAATTTGAAATCATCCAAATATCCATCAGCAGAAGGTCAGTTAATTATTAAGTCCATAAGGAATAATACACAGCCAATAAAGTATCAGCATGGAAAGATATACAAGGTATATTATCCTTACAGGCAATGGTCGGGACATATGTTTGTATGATTCAATTTTTGTTTTATAATTTGTGAGTCTATATATGTATATATGTCTGTGCTTGTTAGTATACATGTATAATTAATTTTTAAAATACCAATCTGTAAATAGTCTTTCTGAGGGTTGTAAACCTAGGAATTTTACTTTTCTCATAATATATATTTACAATGTTTTAATGTTTTATAAACAATCAGAAAAACAATATTAAAAAATTAAGAAATTTTAAAACATTGCTCAACTGCACTGATAATTAAAGAAATTAGAACAATGATGAAATGTAATTATTGCCTATCATTTTGATGAAAAAAATTTAAGACTATAAACACGCAGTGTTGTATAGTACCCTGGTCTCTAAATTTTTTTGATTAAGAAATTTTAAAACATTGCTCAACTGCACTGATAATTAAAGAAATTAGAACAATGATGAAATGTAGTTATTGCCTATCATTTTGGTGAAAAAAATTTAAGACTGTTAACACTCAGTGTTGTATAGAACCCTGGTTTCTAAATTTTTTTGATTAGCCACATGTACAAGTAAAACCTTTTGACTTTGAACACTAAATATATATATGTGTAATTATTTTTATAAATAAAGATGGGGTCATGCTATTTATACTCTTCTACCACTTGTAAATTCACGTGTACAATGATGCTCACTGTAACAAATTTTGGCATAGGAGAAACTGGAAACATTTAGAATGCCTATTAATAGGGGCCTGGTGAAATATATTACTTGCCATTATTAATCAATATATTATATGTTATTCAATAGCATAATATTCAGTCATCAAAGACAGTGAGTTAGGTGTACTGTATTGATTTGCTAGGAGCAATGTATCAATACATAAAGTCTAGAAGTACATACAGTAAACATAATAGTTCGTGGTGAGGGTGGGATGGGGATATGAAGCGATGTGGGAAATTTGCTTTTCATCATTTTACATGTTTCTGCTTTGAATTATTTCTAAAAACTTGTTTGAATAACTTTCCCAGTTAGAAGTATACTAAAGATCCAAAACAAAACTGATGTGTCACTTGAATTATTCTAACAGAATGCACACGTTTTAACGTCCAGAAAAGTTGTGGGTTTTGTGTATTTGACTATCTCAGGGTTGAGGATTGCAAAAGTTCCTAAAGGGATTTGAGGCAACAGGAAATGGGTTTGCGCTTCTGAGTTGGCTCAAGATCTTGCTTATGAAGGAGATTTTCTATCGTTTTGGGCAAGTTTCGTTTTGCTTCTGTTAAAATTTAAAAACTTAAGAAAGGACGGCTTGGGTCAGAAGCCGGGTTTCCCGGTCAGCGCGTGCCCTGCGCCCCCGCCCCGCCCCTCACCCGCTCTCACCCCACCCTCGCCCAGCCAGCCCTGCCCCCACTGGGGCTCTGGGTTGGGGGCAGGGACAGGGGCAGGGGCTGGGACCGCCAGGCTAAACTGCCTCTGGGCCACGCAGACCCCAGGGAGAGGGGTGGGGCCTGGCAGGGCGCCAGCGACCGCGAGGACCAGAGCCCTGTCGGGGAAGGAGGGCGTCCGCCTTGCAGAGCAGTTCTGATCTACTACCACTGAGCCGGCCTCCTGCCCGTATTTCCCCGCGTCCATCTCTCTTTATCCCGCGGTCGGTGGGACCGCGGAACCTGCTGTTGTCTTTGGGCTCTGGGCACTGTAGGGGAGGCGACATCAGGCCTATGGCGGCGGCGGCGAGGTCGGCCTTGTCGGTCCTGGCGATGCGGTTGTCGCGCTGCGGGCTGGCTCGAGACTCGTCCAGCCCCTTCTCCAAGGCGCTCACGCGCACGCTGCTCACCTTCTTCGACCTGGCCTGGCGCCTGCGTATGAACTTTCCCTACTTCTACTTCGCGGCCTCAGTGATGCTGAACCTCCGCCTGCAGGTATATGTTTAGCCACTAACTTTGTGGCATTTGGGGGCCCTCGGCAGGATGGCTGGCTTGCGCCCTACCAACTTACCTACCCTAGAGCAAAGTGACCGGCTCCGCTCCCGCACGCAGACTTGCCAGCAGTCTTAACTTTGCTTCATCTTTTAGTATAAATGGGCAGCTAAAAAAATCAGCATTTGCAGAAAACCTGCAATATAATTTAAAAAGCATGTGAAAATCCTTCGAAATAGTTCAGAAGTTCTTGTATCCATAAAAACAGAAAACAGCAGGAACTTTAGGAAATGACAATGGGCACAGAGTGCATTAAGGAACAAAAACGGAAAGGTAACTGAAAACTCAAGAAAAGATAAACTGTGCAAGAGTGGTCCAAATAGCAGGCAAAGCAAAGCGAACAGACTTCCAACTGAATGGAACAAATTCTAAGCAATAGATGGATTGAATGAGAAGCTGGAGGAGATTAATAACATGATCTGAAAGGCATACCATTTCTTCTTCGCTCCAAGAGAAAAAAACAACAGAAACTACAGGGAAAACCAAACATTTCAGACTGTACAAGAAAATCATGCTTCAAATATGAAGCAACCTCAGATGTGGCATGGTTTTGAAGAGTTGCCAGAAGTGTGAGAAAGGGAATCTGTTTGAACACTGACACATGGTTCAAGACTCTGGAGTCACAGACAAGAACAGGTAGCCAACAGGTGAACTAAAAGCAGTGATACAACTGGTTGGATGTGGTGGCTCACGCCTGTAATCCCAGCACTTTGGGAGGCCAAGGCGGGAGGATTGCTTGAGGCCAGGAATTCGAGACCAGGCTGGGCAGCATAGTGAGATCCCCATCTCTACATAAAATAAATTGGCTGGACGTGTGCCCAGCTACTCAGGAGAGTGAGGCAGGAGGATCATTTAAGCCCAGGCGTTCAAGGTTGTGGTAAGCTGTAATCACACCACTACACTCCAGCCTGGGCAACAGCCAGACCCTGCCTCTTAAAAAAAATAGTGATACAACTGTATTCGGGGGGGGGCGGGGGGTGAGACCTGAAGGAACAGCAGAAAATGCCTTATGTAATAAAGTCAAGAAATAATAATAAAAACCTATTATTAAGAAAAAGGGAGATAACCACTAAACAGGCATGTGCGAAAGTTTTTGCCTCTGTGCTGGGAAACCAAAAGTTAAGAAGGATGGACAGAAATGTATTGCTTTTATTTATATGTCCTTTTTTTACTGCTTGATTTTTAAAAACTATAATCATGTATTGCTTTCAATAAAAGTTAAAACTTATTAACAATTTACTGCATGTACAAGGAAATTTGGGGGTGTACTGGGAGTGGCACTTCAGGTCAGGAGATTCTGAGTTAAAACACATGCCTTCCTATCTTTCTGTAACAGTGTATGTATATCCTAACATGTTTCTGAATGATCACACAAAATATTTCCTTGACTACTTGAACCCCTTACTTTCCAAGCAGACTATAGGCCATATGGAAATGCTTTAAAACTAAAAATAACCAGTAGTCTTCAGATAGCCAAAAGTTTCCTCACACTGTGAAACTTTGCTTGAGCAAATCTGGAATATCATAGTTAAAATAAAAGCAAAACAATAAAGATGTGATTAATTTTCAAAACTTAACAATTGAACAGGAGCACCGTGATGGTTATACAAGGTTTCTACATTTTAGTATTGATCATACTAGCAAAAGAGTGAAAATAAACTGTATATCTAACAGTAGACACTTGGTTAAGTAAAAATCGTACATCTATATAATGAAATACTATGTGACCATTTAAAATGATAAGAAGTTTTATCAATGTGGAATGAATTTAATAAATGTCAAGTCACCTGACTGAACCAGAGAGTAACAGACAAATATTACATACATACATTCATGCACTCAACTCAGTTATAGAGAAATAATCATTGGGAACAGTATTGCATACTTATAATATGCCATGCAATGTTCTAAGCACTTTATAAAAATATCATTTAATTTCATCCTCACAACAACCCTGAGATAAGAACTAGTATTATTCACAATTTTCAAGATAGACAAACACAGATGTATAAAGGCATAGTGATAAACGATTGCAAACAATATTCTTCCTCCTACTACTATGAGACATTCATTGTATGACTTTTAATTTTATTTAATTTCATTTTTGTTATTTAAAAAATTGTGAGGCATCTTTTAAAGTTTTCTTGTAAAATTCATGATTCAAGTGAGTGCGTGGATGCTAGAATTTTGAGAAACCAGATCTAGACACTCCAGTCCTGCAGTCACACTTCAGTGCTCCCAAGCCCTTGCACCATTGCACTGTGGAGGGTTGATGGAACTCACAGTCACTTAAAAAGAATGGGAATTCTAACAAATGAAATTAGTTTTAATGAAACACCAAAAGCATTCTTTATAACAAGTACTCAAATAAAAGCAACTCGGTTTCAATGTGGAAATTGTAAATAATTATCACTTCCTCCTCAGAAAACACAGCTTTTTGCCATGAACAGAGAAAGTTCAAATATAAACATTTCTAGAGAGTTACTCATAATTTAAAATTTTAACTTACTGTAAAACCTCAAACCATAAGAACCTTAGAAAAGGAAGGAAATACTCTCATGGAAATCGGAACTGGCATCCAATTTCTGTACAAAACCCGAAACCCACAGGACTTAAGAGAGAAGATAGACAAATGGGACCTTATTAAACTGACAAGCTTCTGCAAAGCCAAAGAAACCATCAAGAGAGCAGGGAGACAGCCTACAGACTGGGAAAAAGTATTTGCCAACTCTAGGTCTGACAAAGGCTTAACATCCTGGATCTACAAGGAACTGAAGCGTACTGAAAAGAAGAAAACAAACAACCCCATTATAAAATGGGCAAAAGACATGAACAGACACTTCACAAAAGAAGACATTCGAGCAGCCAACAAACACATGAAGAAATGCTCAACCTCACTAATCATCAGGGAGATGCAAATCAAAACCACACTGAGATACCACCTAACTCCAGTCAGAATGGCAATTATCAACAACTCAAAAAATAACAGCTGCTGGAGAGGGTGTGGTGAAAAGGGAACACTTCTACACTGTTGGTGGGAGTGTAAACTAGTGCAACCTCTGTGGAAAGCAGTGTGGCGATTCCTAAAAGCTCTAAAAATTGACCTTCCATATGACCCTGCAATCCCCCTACTGGGAATATACCCTGAAGAACACAAATCACTCTATAAAAAAGATACCTGCACACGTATGTTTATCGCAGCATTGTTCACAATAGCAAGAACCTGGAAACAACCATGCTGCCCATCAAAAGAGGACTGGATTAAAAAAATGTGGTACATATACACGATGGAATACTACGCAGCCATAAAAAAGAACAAAATCATGAATTTCGCTGCAACCTGGATGGAACTAGAGTCTATAATACTGAGTGACCTCTCACAAAAACAAAAATCCGAATATCACATGTTCTCACTCATATAATGGACCTTGAACATCCA